GGTGTGACTTCTGCTGGAGAGGGGTACAGGGCGTCAGCTGGAGTCCATTCCCAGGGTGATGGGAGGTGGGCCGTGAGCTGTGCTGCTTCCCGTTTGGCCCTGCCTCCAGCTGGCCTGCAGATAGGGCCCTTGGGGGATAGTGGGACATGCAGTCCATAGTCAGGTGTCCGTGCAGGAGACTCGGGAAGTCTAGGAGGGGAGGGGAAGGGGTGTCACTGCATGGCAACACTGCGGGGTCTTTCTGCCTCCTGTTGCCATTCCACAGAGCAGGGGCACGGAGAGGCCAGGCAGGAGGAAGGAGGGTGGCCTGTGGGGCAAGAGCTGGCCTTGGCGGCCCCTCCCCCCCAACAGCCCTGTCTGGAGGAAGGGCAGGGCTGGAAGGTGGCTGGAACAGCATCCAGCCCCAGGCCTCAGGTGGCATCTGTGAAGTGGGCGTGACGCCCCTGTCTCTTGGGAGGCTGTGAGGCCCCGGCGAGTTCTTCCAGGGAAAACATTCAGCACGCAGGGTGGGCCCAGGCCAGGTGAGGAGACAGCCATCAGGGGTGAGAGTCAGGTGCCACTTGGGCCAGCTGGGACACACTCCCCCAAGCACACTGAAGCAGCGGGCGGGCATCTGGCAGCCCCCGCCCTGTTCACAGATTGCCTCTGTTGCGCACCAGGCTCTGGGCTGGGGTTTGGGAGCTCAAAGGAGCCAGACAAACCCCCCCTCTGCTCTCCCAGCCCAGGGGGAGGAAGAATTAGCCAAGCAGCCAGGACAGGGCGGCATGAGGGTGTTGGCACGTGTGTGCAGATGCCACAGTGGGGGAGCATAGCCTCCCAGGCAGAGCTAACACCCAGGCTGGGAAGCAGCGGACCCCACAAGGTGGCAGGGCACAGGGCCTGGAGGGCACTCTTGATCTCCAGTCAGCAGGGCCTTGCAGTGGGCTCAGCTGGGGGCAGTGTCCTCAAGCATAAGATTCTTCCAGGGGTGGGTCCAGAAGGCAAAGGTGGAGGGGAGGCCAGTGGATGGTGCAGCGTGTTCTCAGGGCGACGGGCCAGGGTGGGAGGGGATGTCCCAGGTAGGAGGAAGGAGCCAGGCCATCCCTGCCTGCCAGCCCCAGGGATCCTTGGGAGCGCCTGGGCAGGTTCATGCCTCTCGCCGGCCCCTGGGGGGCAGTGGGGTGCTAGCTCTGGGGGGGTGCCCAGCAGTACCTGGGGGAAGGCTTTGCCCTGGGTTCCTGGCACGGAGGCCAGGTGGCTCAGGGTCACAGACCCCACAGCCTGATCCCCAGGGGGCGGGAGAGGGCGTGCTTAACGGACCCAGGGACAGCTTTGGGTAAAACAGGCGGCTCAGGGTGAGGCTCCAGACCTCTTGAGATGGAGCTGCCTCTCGCGGAGAGGGCTTGTCACACCTCTGCAGGTTGGGGACGGAGGCGGGAGGCAGAAGTGTCTTGCTTGCGCTCACAGGTGCATAAGCAGCAGCATCCGTAAGCCTCGTGACGGAACTCCCTGAAGGGTCTCGGGGTCCAGGCTCACTCCATGTCCGAGAGTGGCCCAGAGTCACCCCGCGCGTCAGCCGGGGTGGGACTCGAACTGCCCCGTGGCCAGCCGCGGCGCCCAGCCCCGCCCACTCTCCCCGCAGATCTACCCCAACGAGAGACACAGCATCCGCTGCCCGGAGTCGGGCGAGCACTACGAGGTGACGCTGCTGCACTTTCTCCAGGAATACCTCTGAGCCGGCTGCCACGCCGCCCGCCGGGCCGGCGCAGACATCAGAGCACAAGTGGCTTCCTGCCGCCAGGTGGGGCGACCGCGGCCGCAGCCCGCCAGGTGCCTCCTCCCGCCGCGCCGGCCAGCCCACCA